ACAAATAATGGTTCACGATGGAAAACGCATGAGAGACTGGGTAAAGCTGAGAAGTATGACGATCGGGAAAGAAGAAAACTGAGGTCGTAATATTTCCATGAATCCAATTAAACAATTCCGAAAGAACATTTACAGTGGTACAAACTCTATTCCTTTCTACACCATTCACAAGTTTTCGTGGACCGCTTGACCAATTAATATCTTTCAATTAATTAAGGTTTTTGGGTGAGATAAAAAAGTCAATGTCACGAGCGGGATTCGAACCCACGACCTTCGGCTAGATACGCTGCTACTCCACCACCTGAGCTATCGTGACTTCGATCCACTCGGACACTAACTTCCCATCTCAACCCCTTCCTTTCTACATTTATTCCAAGAGAACCAAAGGCGACCGAAAGTACGCGGGGTGGAGCATCAACTGAACAAACACAAACACGTTCATTATGTGGAAACGGAAGAATGGAAGCCCGTTGCTCGGAGAATTTTTTTTTGCCTGCTCATTAACATTAAAATTTGACCAATTGCAATTACAATCCACTTATGCACTTATACAAAAATATGTATTTATTGCAATATATGTTCAAATACAATAAACATAGCTTACATTGATTCCAAATGCTTCAAAACATACAGTTTGTTAAAACTGGATGTTTTAGTTAACCAGGAAAAATATGCAAATGCATGTATTTCACAGCCCTAATGTTTAGGCACTGTTGACGAGTTTTCAACGAGTTTGGGGTGGCGTCCAATAGCGATTTTAGAGCAGAAATAAAGCGTCTAATTTTGATCTCAGATGGCAATTTATATCTAAAAAACAATTCTATTCCGAAGCATAAAAAATATCAGAGCATAACAAGACACAAGAATTACACCATTCAACGATTATACAGCCCGTTCCTCAAGCTGTGTCTCTTCTTTTACGGAGATGCGAATAAATTTTCAAACTATCATTTGAATGATTAAGATTTTCCTCACGCAGGATATTTCACCTCTTAATGCAATGAATGATAATGTTCGCTCTCGGAAAGTTAAATACATTATCCAGTTACACTAGTTGCACGGCATAAAGATTAATCCCTGGCTGACCTTTGAACCAATTTAATAAACTCGACTCAGTCTTCGCCCTCTCCTTCAAATTTTACACAATCCAAGACTGCGATAGTTTCCCTCGGGGGATTTTCCTGCCTCCAATACCAACGGTTGAACATTCCAACCCCCCCTCAGCAGTTGTGACAAAGTAATTTGTAATATTTACTTAAGAAAGTATCGGTATGAAAGAAAACACGTGGGAAACGTTGTGTGGGCGGCCGGGCCGAAGACGATTTCGGACTTGTCGTAAACCATCCAAGAACTTGACAGGTTAATTAGATATGAATGTATAACTTATCGTATCGCTTTCGGATTAACTAACGCCGTAGAGTGAGTCGAGCACGCTCGGCAGATAAATACGTGAACGGTGGAACTGGTGGGAATAACCATAGATAAGACAAATGTAACATTGTTCCGAAGCCGTTTTAGAGATAAAAGAGGCCTTGGAGGCTAAAGAATAACGGCAAGGAGTAGGAGCTAATAACAGCAATCAGCCCCTCCCAGGTAGACGCCAAATTATATTCTCCTTTACATCACAGACTGAAACGTCTGACTGAACATCATCAACACGTTCAAATCGGTCCTTCGGCGAGGAAAACCTGTCAACATTATGTTCGTTACAAATTTAATTTAAATAGACGGTGAATAGCACAAGCTAGTTGAAATTGGCAATCAATCCTCAATTAAACCAACTCGATTGATCACGATGATCATGTTAATTCTGCAGGATTATATCAATTATTGACCTGAAACTCGTATTGAAATGTGGATTTGACTTCCCAATTAGAGTTGTCGGATCACCGTGAGATTCCGCGCTAAATAAAAGCGGAAATCACATAGAAAGAAGCAGTCATTGACATTGCATAAATCTGCGACTTGATACATTGCGAGAGATGCCGTGCGATAAGACGCGAGTAGAAGCAGAAATCGATAATAAAAGAGCTTTCAATGACTGCATGGATCTGCGACTTTGTACATTGCGAGAGATGCCGTGCGATAAGACGCGAGTAGAAGCAGAAATCGATAATAAAAGAGCTTTCAATGACTGCATGGATCTGCGTCTTTGTACATTGCGAGAGATGCCGTGCGATAAGACGCGAGTAGAAGCTGAAAGTGAAATTGATAATAAAAGAGCTTTCAATGACTGCATGGATCTTCGACTTTGTACATTGCGAGGGATGCCGTGCAATAAGACGCGAGTACAAGCTAAAACCGATAACAAAAGAGCTTTCAATGACTTTGCATGGATCAGCATGCGGCCTGTTTAAAATCGTGAGCGATGCTGTGTGATTCCGCGCGAAAAAGAAGGTGAAATCGGATAGAAAGAAGCAGTCATTGACTTTCCATGATTCTGCGACTTGATACATTGCGAGAGATGCCGTGCGATAAGTCGCGAGTAGATGCTGAAATCGATCATAAAAGAGCTTTCAATGACTTTACAGAGGTCAGCGTGGGAACTGTTTACGCTGCGGGCGATTCGATACGAGAAGAAACTAAACGACAATAATATAGCTTTCAATGACTTTGCATGGATCAGTTCATGGAGTAGGAGTTGAAATCCTTAATAAAAGACCTGTCATTGACTTTACTTCAGTGACATGTACTATACAGTCTACGAGCGATTCTGTCCATCATGATTATCATTCCATCACAGCAAACCTTTACACCAAAACGGACTTTCGCAAATCGGCCTTAAATCACATTTCAATAGAACTGGAAGTTGTGGACCGCATGTTTCCATACAGGGCGAAGTACCGGCTGACCAAGTCCAATCCGATGGTCGAGGCAGACTTGTCGATCCGGAGGGCGTGTCACTACTTTGGTAAAAACAATAATTTCTTACTGTGTGGGATCAGTGAAGTTCTTCGTGCCGTTTCATCCCTTCTTCTTATAATCTAACGGTGTCCTTTTAAAAACACTGGTTTGTTTTCGTTTCGGGAAGGCCTTTTGGTTAGAATAGTGTCGGAATTGCCATTGAACGGCGAGCGATGCGAAAATTTGGGTAGTCAACAACGACGGGCCTTTTGTACAATTTCTGACACTTTGGAGCTATTGCCGTATTAATTGACCAAGTTAAACAATCATACCTAGTGGAACAACTTCCCAGAACAGCGGCAGATGCAAAGTCTATTCCAAGAGAGCTTTTCCTAAACGTACTGCAGATTGTAGGTCCAAATTAGGTAATTTATTGGTATTAAAAATACATCTCAATATGTAAAAAAAATAACTTTATGTTTAATATAAATTTATATTTATTCCTTTATAATCAAAATATGTAATAGAAAGAATTTGAGAATGTAGGCATCTGGGTCGTCACAAACATTGATAATTAATGTTTCAACGTTTATTTGAATAAAGAAAAAAAGCTCGCCCAGAACGCATGAAACATAAAATGATTTGCGATATCAGCTTCTACTCGCGCGGGATTGCTCGGATATGGTTACAATGCGAGCAAGTCACACGCATCCATGCAAAGTCAATGACAGCTCTTTCCTTTGCAATGTCAGCTGCTTCTGTTCGCGCGAAATAGCACGGCGGCCCGTCCGGGATCAATTATCAATCCTGATTGGTGTTTCAGCTTCTGATCGTGCGGGATCTCTCGGATCCGTTGCAGAGTAAACAAGTGGCATGCTGATAATGCAAAGTCAATGACAATTCCTTTCTTTGCGATTTCAGCATTTATTCGAGCGGAATCAATGATGAAATCGCACTCTGATCTATGCAAAGTCAATGACAGCTCCATTTTTTGCGATTTTCTCATTTAGTAGAGTGAAAATCACACGCTGATCTATGCAAACTCAATGACAGCCCCATTTTTTGTGATTTTCTCATTTACTAGAGTGAAAATCACACGCTGATCTATGCAAAGTCAATGACAGCTCCTTTTTTTTGCGATTTCAGCATTTTGGAGTGGAATCGCCAGCTGATCTATGCAAAGTCAATGACACCTCCTTTCTTTGCGATTTCAGCATTTACTGGAGCGGAATCTCTCGGATCCGTTGCAGAGTAAACAAGTGGCATGCTGATATATGCAAAGTCAATGACACCTCCTTTCTTTGCGATTTCAGCTTCCACTCGCGCGGAATCGCATGTCATCGCTCGCAGTGAACAGATCGCTGATCAATTCAAATTCAATGAAGGCTCCTTTTTCTTTGCAATGTGTTCTAGTGTCGTCCAAAAGAAAACCCCTTGCCGATTGAACATGAAGTAATCATTGAACTTATTACCTAAAAGTGTACATGATTCGCTCTGAAAGAGAAGCGCTTATACAAGCGAATCGCCAAACAGACGTCCGATTATAAAGAAGGGCATACGTTGACAATGGCAGCAACAAGCTTGTTGGTTAAGTCTATTATTATGCTACAATTAATTAAGGTTAACCGCACCTTTTGAATTTTCCCTCCTTTTTGCCATTTTTCAAATGTCGTGTAATCCAATTTCATTTGTCGTCGAGAATCCAATCCGATTACACGACATTTGAAAAATGGCAAAAAGGAGGGAAAATTCAAAAGGTGCGGTAGAGATGGAAGTAGGTGTCCGAGTGGATCGAGGTCACGATAGCTCAAGTAGTAGAGCAGCGGCGTATCAAGCCGAAGATCGTGGGTTCGAATCCCGCTCGTGCCATTGACTTTTTTATCTAAACTAAAAACCTTAATTAATTGTAATATATTAACTGGTCAAGCGCACCACGAAATTAGTGAATCTATTATTATGATTTCGCCGATTATTAAGTTACATCCGTTTCAAAATAATACATGCGAAACTCAGTGGAAGAAATGAAACCATTCGTTGACGTTCTTGGAATCCGCTCGTCAATCTTTGGATCAAGTTGTAATTAACTTATGCCAGAAATCTATTTAAAGGCACGAAACCCAGGATGAACATTACAAAAAAAAAATCAAAAGACATACCTTGCGAATCTTTCTTTGTCCTGCAAGCTGTCGTCTTCCATCCTAGAATATTTACTTCCGCTCGGATCGTCCTCATCGGACCTAGAAAAAATAGACACAATTCATTTATGAAAAGGTAAATGCATAAAACAAGTAAGCATTGATTATAATTTGACCTTGTAGGACGGGTTTTAAGTCCCTTGCAATCCGAATCGCTAAAAGAAGCAAAAAATGTCATGCAACTTTCATAATGTATTATTTAGTGCAATTAAAACTTAAGCCTTTTTTAAAAATGAATTTGAGTTGCAACGACAGGCAATGTCCAAGCACTCCTTTAGGTTAAGAGAGCCATCCTTTGCTCTCCTCTCCACCAAAACCATTCACACCCAATGAAGTATTCCACGCCATAAACAATTTACCACTAAACAAACAGACCTAAATTCTGTCTTTAGAATCACATACTTCTCATCACAATGGCACACAGCTAAAGAGGATCTGCAAGCCCTGAATCTGATAAGCCCTGAACCTTTTCTTGAAATAACAAAATAGACAAAAATAGAAATGTAGTAAGTAGAGATGCAACACAGTAAGATTATGTTAAAACAAACTTTACCAAGGCAAACTAACTGCTACAATTAGCGAGGGCCATGCTAAGAGTTAAAGGTCACTGGCATTTAAGAAAACACCTACACAACATGGTTATAACCAATGACGACCCATTCTTAGGTTATGCACTGAAGAGCAAGAAACAATTACCCATATCACCTTTGGATGTAAAGCATCGAAGGCGACATAACCTGGAATAAAAAGAAAACGAAGGGAAAGGAATTGCAGCAACGACAGTCAATGACCGAGAACTCCTTAGGAGAAGGATCAAGTCGATTGCACTGTACTAAGGAAGTAGAAAAGTACAATAAGCCACAAGGCTGCAGTGCTTGGGGGAACAAAAACCCTCTCTTCCTAGCATCCCCCATCATCATCATAATCAAATTAATTTCAAGACTAGATAAGATCTATATAAGCTAACGTTTTATTCGACATGGTTTAAGAAAAAAAATCAGGTCGTCGATCATTTTGGTTTGCGTATGCTCGCCTGACACTTTTGGGCATTTCTCCGTCTTCAGTGGTTGGCCTGAGTTTTTTTAAATTGTGACAAACGTATAAAAAAGGATAGGAAAACAACAGGTTGATGATGGCCAAAAAAGCTGAAACAAAATTTCTTACAAACTAACCCAATTAAATAAATAATACTGTTTATTTTATTTTCATATTTCGGTATCGTTTGACTGTATTTAAGGCCAAACCATGTCATTACTTTACCATGACCAACATAGATATCCCAGTGGCGGTACAGAAATTTTTGGTTTCGATAAGACCAATAAATAAAGGTCGGTTGATAACCCAATTGACCGTTAATGAACGTTATGCGTCCTAGATCAGATTTAAAAAAAACGTTCAAGAATTTTCTCAGTTAAGAAAGATGGAGAACTTTATTGTTACAATCTAATATATAGCATAGCTGATAAGATTCATTAGGTTAAGCTTTGAAACCGCCTGTGCATCTAGGGCATAATATGTGCATCTAAGTGCATGATATTATATACGATCCCGAATTCTATACTAGCCACTATACAGGACCATTTCAAGCACATAGAAAAAATATAAAAATGAAACAAGTACAACTTCACCAAAAAGTGAAATACCCAGCACTATATCAAGACAACAGACGTGGACTACTGGAGACTGATGCGACAACTGGACAGAAGACTTGGACTACTATGGAAACAACAAACAACCGGTCCCAATCGTCAGGGGAGCTGATATACTTGCTAAAACCGAACTCCAAGAACAATACTCCAAATCCGTTTCATGAATTATATACATAAAAAACGATTTTGAATCTTGGGTAACATTATCTAAACAAAAGCTAAGGTGTTAAGGATTTTCGCTACCTTCAATTGTGGTTGGGAGTTGTACGGTTAAAAGCCTGCCTGACAGACTAAAAAGGAAATGAATGATGAACTGGAGAGAAAGAAACAGTCATTGGCTTTGCTTAAATCTACGACTTGCTATACTGCGAGAAATGTCGTGTAATTCCAAGGGAGTAGAAGCCGCAATCGCCATTAAAAGATCTTTCAATGACTTTCCATGGATCAGCATCAGAAATAGAAGGTGAAATCGGATAGAAAGTAGCAGTCATTGACTTTGCATGGGGTGCTACTTATAGGACTCTGCGACTTGATACAGCCATCATTCGACCCGAGAAGAAGCTGAAATCGTCAATAAAAGAGATTTCAATGATTTCGCATCGACTTGATACATTGCGAGGGATGCCGTGTGATTTGACGGGAGTAGAAGCTGAAATTGTTAATAAAAGAGCTTCTAATGACTTTACAAGGACCAGCGTGGGAACTGTTTACATTGCGAGCGTTTCTACGCGAGTAGAAGCTGAAATCACTAATAACAGAGCTTTCAACGACTTTGTATGGATCATCATCTACGAGGAAGATACCGCATATTATGTACGATCCCGAATCCTATACTAGCCACTATACAAGAATACCTGAAGCCATAGATTATAAGTGCAAAAAAGTATAAAATAAAACGAGTACAAGTTTACCAAAAAGTGAAATACTCAGGACTGTACCAAGACAGCAGACGTGGCATACTGGAGACTGAAGCGACACTTGGACTGAAGACTTGTACTACTGACAAAACGACAACCACCGGCAGCAGATATACTAGCTAAAAACGAACCCTAAGAACAATACTCCAAATCCATTTCATGAACTATATACATTAAAAACTAATTTGAATCTTGAGTAACATTATCTAAATAAAAGGTTAGGTGTTTATGCTCTTCGCTATCGTCAGTTGTGGTTGGGTGTTGTACGGTCAAAGGCCTGCTTGACAGAATAAAAAGGAATGAATGATGAAATGGAATGGTCATAAAGGGGCCTAAATATGACCACCACATGGTTCCAACTTTCCAACTACCATCTTTCACTTTGCTAGCCCTAGAAACGCATGTTATAATATACTATTAGATAGCCAGACAGTAGTAGAGGCTCTTCAACCTACAAGATCTGAATCCCAGAAAAACCTAGGATCTACAAATAACCCATAGCTAAGGTCCCTAGTAATGGGAGAATTTCAGGTAATCCAATTCTTCCAATAAAAAGCCCTTAGATAAATTTCTTTCCTTACTACGTTACTATAGTGCAGTCACTATCCACGCCTCAACATTCTTTTTGTCTGGAGTGAACCGATCTCGCGTCCCGAGGTTCCATATCAAGCTTTCGTCCATCCTTGCTACACAGTCCAAGCCTTATCTACACTTTACCATCCTGATCGCCTTAATCAACGTTGGCCTAGAGACCTAACCTATAAACCAGCAACAAGAGTACTCTCAAGACATCCCAACATCATCATTATCACCTATGTGGATGACCGCAATTCTGTCTTTATACTCGAATTCTATCCAAGCAAACTCCAACATCCAAGAACACCTTTATCACAAACTGAAAAAGGAAAGTTTTCAACCAGGAGCTACCCATTTACAAGCAAGCCAGATACTTTAGGGCTCTAGGCAGCAGACCGACATGACATCTGCACATAAGACTTAAGAACTTAAAAAAGAGTTGGACAACTACGAAGAATCTTAGGACCGAAATCTATTTCAAAACCGACAAAACTCAATACTATACAAGGCATTACTGCGACATTTTGTACATAACTGGAACTGTGGGGTTTCACCGCTATAAAATCCTCCCTTAGACAAATTGTCAAACGTCATACGTCAATAACTTCACTGTCTACTACCTTAACATTCCTGTTGACTGTGGTGATCAGATCTCGCGTCCTAAGGTTCCACATCAAGCCATCCGTATACCATACCGCTGAAGCCTTATCTACACTTTTCTATCCTGACGACATGCCAGGTCACCTTAAACGATGTCCTGGAGACCTCACCTCTTAATCCCTCGTATACCGTGATACCGTCCATATTTTAATGTCCTATGTCTAACTCCTATTTGAACCATCTAGCTTTGTTTGAACTGTACTACGAATAATTATGCTTTAATTAGTACATCATTGAAAAAAGAGTAGAAAACTTCCTCAGGGAAAGTAACAAAGATTGTCAATTGTTTGACACAAAAACATGTTAAAATGCATGCACATCATGTCATGCCGGCCACCCAAGCACGATTGTTATAATGATCGATTTTATGTAAATTGAACTAGCACAACCCATGATTCCCCTTATGAGGTTGTATGCGTTTTTTCGTCTAATTACACTTTAATTCGTTCTTTCCGTCGATCTCAATCTCAAGGTGTTCAACCTGTGTTTCTAAATCATTTCCTAATAAAATGGCGTCGGGGTTTACCTCGGTATATGGCCGTTACAATTTTATAATTCTCAATTAACGTGTAAACGAGCCAAGTAAAAGCTATCATGATGAGAGGTTTACTTATTATTCAAGAAATTTTTCCTACAGCCCCTTTATGGATTGCCCTAAACGCATGGAAGAGAAAATAAAGTCTATATCGGCTTAATCACGGCATGGGTGACATTTCGTGTCGAATGTTTCGTGAATAATCTGTGTACAACAGGACGTCATCCAGTCTTAAAAAACACTTATTTAACAATGATACAATGATACAAGAACGTTCCCTTAGAACCACGTAATTACCATTCCAAAGCCTGAAAAACTTCACAATCCGACCGTTCAGTTAGTCCAATGCCTATAATGAGCAACATCATAGAAAATCTGCTGAAGCGCGTTCAATTTCTTCATTCAGGGAACCTCCCGGCCACCAGTTTATGTTCAGTCGTACTCGTGCTGTCATCGGATACGGCGCTACCGTTCTTAAGCAGGTATGCTACTCCAAGTATTTGTCGATGTGAAGCCTTCGATCGAGTCCGGCACTTTGAGTTACTCACTCATGGCTGTCCTCTGTTTTACTTAGTACCTGATGGCTGATCCTATAATTCTACTTAACTGACAGACACTATAAATTCATCAGTGACGAGTACCACAAGGAAACATCTTAGAGTCCAGTATCTTTCACAGCACCGCAGACATTCCTATCTTTTCTGC